AGTACCTCTATTCAACTGTACGATTTTTAGTGCCCCTGAAAATGTACCGTCCCGATGATTTATCACTGGAAAAATACGTTTTCTGAATGATCTTTTCAAGTTAAACACGAGAATCTTTGCAGAGCCTAGAAAGATATTCTTTGAACAGGTTTACCGACTTGATAATTTTTCGCCTATTAGGGAGTCACTGTTCATGGTTAATAATTTGAATTCATAGCGAAACTCCGCTGTACAATATGAATTTTGACAACAAGTAATACAATCGCTGGGTACGTCAACCACTGCAAAAGTTGCCCCAGACATTTCTTCGTCCATTTACGAGTTGCTGAAATTGAAGTATCAATTTCGATGAATCAGTGTGATCATTTTTGAAAAAGTATGGGTCGTGAGCAATTCAGTCACTTTATCACGGCAGCCAGTATAAGACTTAAAACGTAGGAAGACTGACTTATGAATTTGGCAGTTCAAAACTGTGACAAACCAAAGCCTTTCTAAGAATCTGCAAACAATAAAAGTTTGAAGAAGCGACTCTTTTCCTGCCGGGCGTGGCTTTGCTAAACGTCTGGCTATAACAACTACGGCGATGGTTCATAGTTATCTAATTCATTCACAATACTGCTCGGTGATTTTTACGCTATGTAAGGCTTCAAGGCACTTGCATTTATGCATAGTGAATATGACAGTTCAATCTTACTCTCCAATTGGACGGAGTATATCTTATCTGGTTCCCATTTAGTTAGAACTGGACTACAACCACCCAAATTCCAAATAGCTATGCCTTAATTTCAACAAATGGAACCAAGTGAACAAAACTGCAGAACTCATAGAGTTAAAAGTTCACTTTACTATTTACATTACATCGGCTGCAATTTTGGTTTATGCAACTCGATTTTCCAAGAAAGGATACATTCCGCGTATCGATTTGAAAGCTCTTCAAAGTTCTACAGACTTATTTATAAGCATGATTAAACAGCTTTAAATAGTATTTTTGTTGTAATTAAGATAACATGACTTTTTTGCATTTATTTGGAAATTAAAACCAAATCTCAAAACGTACCGCTAGGTTTTCCAACTCCCTGGTTATGTCCTTCAGGTTTTGATTGAAGATTCGATTCTTCAGTTCACTTTCACGCTCTTTCTTCAAGTCCTCTATTTGCTTGTATGTTGTGGACATCGATTGGAGAGCTTCGCCTGTAACAGAAAAAAATATGTATGATTGGCGCAGATAACACGAGGTTATTGAGCAGGGTTTCAGGTGACGATAGAGTCCGTCTCCGGAAAAAAAATGGCAAAACACAAGAAAGAATTGAACAATAATACGGTCTTCCAACCTTATAAACTTCGCATAGTTCCTCAGAAGTGAGTTAAAAATCTTCCGAAGCGATTTCGGCTCGGAAAAAACGACTCTCTTCAGACGCTATAATTAAATATAACTCAGAATATTTTTTTAACTAAGGGCAGGTTGCCAAACGCAAGTCCTTGGGTAATTCACTGTGGATAAAACCTATTCTAAATAAGGATACTCCATTTGCTCGCCTAAAAACACCAAATAAGTATGTTATTTTAAAAAAGCGGTTCAGGAAGATAAACGGTTTTGCAGTTGGGTTTGGTGACATATGAATGCATTTTTGCCAATAATATCTTTTATAAAAATTCCAATAAAAGACTTGAGCAAACGACTCCGCTTTTTAGTTTTTGTCACCCAGCGCAAATCCCATGTACAGTATACAGCAAAAGATGGATCCGGTAGAGTTTGAGGATACGAAAATTATTTTCGCGATAGAGAACATACTTGTTCTGACAACTATGGGCATTTATTCGAATGGCCTGTTGAACTTGCTTTATTAGACAGGGTAAATCCACCACCTCGTATTTCGCTTGCTTTGATAAACTACATTGGTTTCTAGACACAGTGGAAAATAAAGTACCCTAAACAGACGAGGATATAACTGATAGCTGATATTATCAAGAAATCACTTTGAAAACGGAACTCCTCTCGGCGAAATCCGTAGTCTTTGTAATATCAAAGACTAGTGGGCCGCGCTAAAGTCCATCACAACCGTTCTGCTCTGGGTACGTCCAAAAAATTGATCTCGGAGTGGAAGAACGCACTTTCCTCGCTCCTGAAACCGAAGACCCAAATCTATTTTGCTGTCTCACTTATATTTGATAGAAATGGGCGTTTCTTCTCCCAGGGTGTCTCTTGTCAACAAAAATCAGACAATAAAAATCGAAATTCGGTAACAGCAAGCTTGTTCTTCCACCTTAGATACCCCTAGTCTCAGAATTATGTCTCACAGGACCGGTGTTACTTGTATAGTTTATTTCTTAGTTTTTTATTTGATTTATTAGTGTGATTCTAGTTTTAGTGTACATTAATTTTAGTTTTGTTAAGTTTAGCATATAGCAGTTATTTAAATATATTTATCTAACTTTACCGGCATATAATTAAATTAAAAGAAGACCAATAAAAAGTACAATAAACTAGATAATAAACTATAAACTAAAATTAACTAAAACTAAAGGAAAACAGTAGAAATAAAAACGACCGCAAAACTAGACGCTAAGGGGAATCTAATGTGGTAGACCAAATTTATTCTTACCCGAAATTTCAGCCAGAAAGGGGGAGCTTAGTTTAGGCATGCAGGCAGGGTTAAAACTATACAGTATTATAAATAAAGAACAGAGAGGCCGTGAAAGAAGGCCAGAACCAATCACCTTGTAAAAAAACGAATTGTCACCACATGATTAAATCCCTGATGTGTCCCGCTGCTGAGTCTTTCCTGCTAATTATTCATTTGAAATTCTGAAACAACGTACAATTAATCTTAGTAATGCGGTGGAGCAAGCTGACATGTAAGCTTAGGCTGCGACAGACGACATTCCCCTATCTCACCAATAATTGTAATAGGCGATGCCTTTTTAAATCCCATACTTCCTATTTGTCAGTTGTACTGTGGCTTATTTATTTGGGTATTTCTAATAAAATTTAAAATCCGAGAGAATATGAAACAAATTTACTGTAAAAATTGTCACTGGGGTGAAATAGATGCACTTATATAATACTTTTTCGGCAATTTAAACAGAACTTGCTTGCGAGACGACGCTTGGTGCATTGATTTAATTATTTAATAGATTTCTTATTAAAGAATTGTAAATAAAGCCATCAACAAGGGACTTAACCCTTGCACATGAGGGTGGAATATGCTGGACACAGACATTCGTCAGTATACTTCACAGAAAAACCAGAACAACTGTACGAAGTAACAGAAATGAAGGTTATAACATGCCTTTGATTTGGCCGATACATTAAATACTAAATCCTAACTGCTTTTGTTGCAGAAAGCCTAATGGTTTGAAGAAAACTTAGGCTATCAGTCTCCTAGATAGTCTAACGATAAAGACACGCAAGAGACCCTGTGCAAGAAGCAATATAATTTCATCCTCAGGCATGTCGTTTTGAAAAGGTGGTGCCCGATTGTGGTAATGCAAGCCACTTTTTCACAAAGGGGACGCTGTGTCTGTGAAATTGTTTTTGACAAAGTATGGGATTGCGATCATATCCACTTAATCTTTCGCGCATAACATTTATTTAGTTTCCCGCTATTAAAAATTATTTTAAGTTTGTTTGTAGGAACGGTCGCAAAATGCAGCATATCTACTGGTGCAGGAGGGCAAAGTTTTCAAATGAAATCAACATTGTTAACGACTTATCAAAATATTATTTTTAATTAAAAAGCTTTAGGCGGAACGCCTAAAACTGTATTGGCGGACAGCAGAGTCGTCTAAAACTACGGTGGCAGCAATCACACGCATAAGAGCGAAAATATATAAGCACGATTTGTCTTTTATCTCCCCATATCTCAACTTTTACTTTCGCGGCAATATGCGTTTTACGGTTACTGCACACTCAGTCAATGTACATTTTGTGCTTATATACAGTACATGGCTGCAAGTTGTTGAGCCAGTTCGACTAAAGATCCCAGTAGGAAATCTTCGTGTCATTATACATAAGTTATTTCTTCCGTGATAAATAGTGAAGCAGATATTAAACTTAGTCGTGGAAGCAAGTATACAAATACTACTAGTAATAAGTCCTTTCTGTGCACTTCAATAAAACTAAAAACATTACGGCCTTTTTTAAAGGAAAGGGAGATACTTTAACTTTAAAGGGTTGCCTACAAATCCGTATGTTGTGATCTCCGAATAAATCTAGCAGTTAAAGAAACCAAAATAAGATGTAAAAAACTGAGTCTTTGGTTGTCAAATTAAATGAATCTGCAGCTGGGAGGATACTCAGGCGAAAGTATGCATGAGCATTGGCTATGGCAGTGAACATAAATGTAAGATTGGTTTCTAAAATGCGTCTGCACTCAGTAAAGTTATTATAACTAAGTTAAATTCTTGTAAATAGTAAAATACTACTCGAAAAATTTTTTAACAAAAAATACATACAACAGAAAAATGGGAAGTAATTACCAAAAGTATTGCTGGCTCCGTCAGCTATTTTGGATAGGAACCTATTGAATTTCCCCTCCTCGTAATGATACTCGTTAGGCTTGTTTCCAATATGTTTTAATGCCGCCTTTGCCCGACCTTGCGAACTGGGTTGTAGCATATTCATCATTTTAGATTCGTAATGTGAAAAAAAGTCTCTATAGGCCTCTAGGTCCTGTAACACAAAATATTAAGTTTTACATGAAGGGCTATTTAAAATCACTTTCTGACAAAATGTTAAGTTTCAAAGTGCAAAGCCGTTCGCGTGAATGGCGATATAGCTAATATTTTTATACTGTTATATTTATTGCGTTGGTCACATGTTATAGAATCCCCTGCAATTTTCTAAATTAATTTTATACGTTTAAAATAACGAGACATGCAGATTTACATTAATGCAGATTGGGTATTATTAATATATCAAAAAAATAGGTCAAAAAAAACTGGGGTATTAAGCAAAAGAATTTAAAGTGATTGTCAGACTATTCTCCGGAATCATCAGTACAGACTATGTACTGTTGAGATGAAGAAAATGAAGGCTAGAGAGTCCTTACTAACGAATTAAATTTGTTCAAAAATCCCTGCATGTCATTTTTTAAGATAATACTCGTATAAATGCCCCTTAGAGATAGAAGCCACCTGGATGTGTGCCTAGTAATCAGCTACGGCCAACCGCGATCCAGACCTTGTCACAATACAGAGAATGAGTACCGAGCAAAGAACGAATAAAACAACAGTGTATGGAAATCTTGTTCCACATTTTCATAATTTGGACACGTTAAATTTATGTCCATTACCAGATATTATACTTTCGATATCCTAGCACATGTGTGTGTCCTGTGGGTCGCCAATATATTTGGATAACAATAAGAGAGTATTCCTGGAAAGTCTATGATATGTTGATGCCAACATATGGAGTATTCTTAGACATAGAAGAAATTGTAAATCAACATGTAAAAACGAACATGAACTTGTTTTCGTCAAAAATATTGCAATGCACTGATTCGTCGCATGGTTAAGGTAAAACGGTAGGTATTATGAAACCAGTTTGCAGTGAGCATTTATCGATTTTTTCCATGAACGAACAACAAGATTTACGAACCAACTAGTCCCACGGAAACACTGCGACTAAGAAGCTCTTTAGTCAGGAATAGTGTTTGTAATTTTTAATGGAACTTTCGAGGATGTTGCATTTATCCTAGATATATTGACGGACTGACTTAGTTTGTAATAGGTACACTTTAAAGGAAACAATTCTGTAAGTCTTAGGCCCAATTAACAATTAAATTAAATTAAATGAGAGGAATTGTCTTACCAACCTAAAAGTAGTAAACATCAAAGTAATAAAATATCAGAGACTTTTTACTTAAACGACCATTCCTAGTCTTCGTTTGCATATCCACTACTTGTATGCATTCCTGTACCGTTTCAATTGAGCTTTTAAGGCTTCTGTCATTTACTCCAAATAAACCGACTGAAGCTGACTGACGGACTGAAGCCGTTAAGCATATATGTGGCTGTGTACAGTTTTAGACACTATTTGTATCAAGTATATTAAATACATATATCATCTTCTATGCACCTAAAATAAACGGGTCATATTATTGTTTGAGAGTCAAACACTGAGACGTTATCCGCTTTTCAAAGACTTGCCTTTGTTGGATCCCTCTGAGTAATCGAGGTTTTCGATTTTCTGCCTCCCTTTAGACGAAAAGAAAATATACGGCAATTATAATCTTTAAAAACCACTTTGGAATTGTAAATAGGGGGACTGTTATATTCAATAGCTTTCTGAAAAGCTTATTAGTCGTTTATGCTTAAAAAATGCAGCTAAATTTACACAAACTGTAAATTTTGCCGATATATTGGGTTTTTTGCTAGGTAAAAACGATAGCAGTCATGCAGAAGAACACGTCTGACAGTTTTGGCAATCCCGCTTCAACGATCAAATATATGGCTGTATAGTTACATGCAAAATTGACCGGGCTGCTCAATATGCCTTTCGTCGTGTATGTGTATTTTATTTTATTTGGTCTCCAACACACTGGACTTGACTTGAAAATTTCCAAAAAGAAGCAGAACTTATTATTTTAAATGGAATCAATATTTTTATTTTATTGAAGGCTGGTGTTTACAATATGTACATAACAGTGTGTTTAACAATCCAGGAAGATAAATAACATATCTTTGGATTTAAAAAGTATGGGGCTCCTTCCCTGCTAGCACAGGGCCCCGAGTTCGGCGGGATTGGGGAAGGGACAATCGAGGGCCAAGGGCCTTTATGAACTAACCAAATTTACCGTACACATTTTTCGAAATCTATATTTTGTCAAAATAAGTATATGTAACCATTATTTTTCGTCTTCTTCTCTGGCAGAACAATCAAATCGGGATTAGAATGAGAAAACAGGGGCGCATGCTGCGAAATATTTTCTGGGGAGGGGCAACCCAGGTTGAAATCCTCGTCCTCTGGCCCCGTCCAATTCAGTGGCACGTGCTAGTTCTGGCAGGGTGTGGATAAATTTACGTAGAAAGTTATGCGTTTTCCAAATATCTTAAAAATCCGACATCTACTCAGTAAACTTAAGCAGAAACGATATCCGATTTTTTTGTGACAGACACTTGTTTGTCCGGTTTCGAATATATATTGCCTAAATAAGAGAGTACAAAACACCCCGCACTAGCAACTGCAGTCTGATCAGACGGGTCGACACACTACATTAGTTTACTTATGAATGAATACTTTAAGGTAGTATTTTCTTTGATTATTCATTTGCCACATCTTGGTATATTAGGATGTTATACAGAGCACATTAAAAGCCCAGTATAAGTTGATTTTTAAAATGTTTAATTTTAAAAACGCGTTATTACAAAAAACAAGACTTCTAAGTAGGTGAGTATGGCTTTTAGCATTGCGATCAAAAACGAACAGTTTATTAAATACAAATGTTTCATAAATGAAACTTGCACTGATAACTGTATACAGTTATCACTGTATACGTTTATAAAATATAATTAACACCTTATTTGGGAATCATTACACAATATTCTCTGAATGATAATGAAAGAATATACACTTACATGGCTTAATTTTGCCTTGATCTCGCTCATTTTGGATGCTATTTTCGACGTCTTGACGGCTGACGAGCTGAAATACGCTGTGCAAATAAATAAGCGAGCGTTAAACCATAAAACTGCGGTATACCCAGTCCAGTAAAAGAAAACACCTATATAATACCGGATAAACCTTAAGAATTTTAAGAAACCATATAGTGAACCCAAGCATCTGCAAGATTTCAAAAATCTTTAAAAAAAATTGGCCAGGACATAGAACCAATTATAGTCCTCTACGGAACAGAAATATATTAGGCAAAACTATTAATCGGATTTGTAGATGCGAATGAGATGATGTATGGATAAATACCTACGGAATGAAATATGAGTCACAAAAGCATGATCGAATTGACCTACCTTTTATTAAAAACCATCCCGCCAACGTTTCCTATATCTTGCTAAAATCAGTGTAGTTTGGTCTAAGTAGTATTTTGTAAGTAGTATTTTGAGAGCACGTCCTTGGTACAAAACGATAACCACAGTACAGTATCTCCACAAATCCAAGTTCTAAATTTCCTTATTATTATGGTTTCTTTTATCGTCCGATTTTTGCAACGCCTATTAAGCACACGCTAGTGTGCGGCCGTAGACGATATGCATGTTACGTCAACTTATACGGACTTAATATATGTGGCTTAGGGGAGATTGGATGCAATAATTGGGGGGAGCATATGGTGCGAATTAAGAGATTCGTCGAGAAGGCCATGACAGGTCGCATCATCCACCTCATGCAGATCGGCATTAGGCCTGGCGTCCTAAGCTAACACCCAGCTCGCATTTGTGGCACCCGGCGTTAGACCCTCACATCCGACCTTGAGCCCGACTGGAAACAACTGTATTTTCTGCTCACCAAAGTGGACTGTTCGGATTCTGATCCCATCTCGCCAGTAATGTTTTGGATATTACCGCTTCAATTGTACGTTCAACATTTCTTTGTGCAACTCGTGAATTTTGTTATTGTGTCGTCCTTCATCAGAAGACAGAATTGAAGTGGAATTTGTTTATCAAGTCGCTAATCTGAATTCGCAGCCTGCAACCAAAACATGTGAAAGCAGCCTAAAAAACAACAGTGACAATGACATCGAACATTCTTGAAGATCATAAGTTATTCAGGACCTCGAAGATCTACAAAAAGGCTGAGTCAAGTCAAGTTTATTAATCGAAATATAGGCAAATGTCTTTGAACTCCCTATTGGTCGTTTCTGAATATCCTGCATATTGTTTATACATATTTGAAAATGCTTTTAAGCAATTAGGCGTATTGTTTACTCAGTCTGCTTGAATTATTTGCAATACTTTACACACCGTGTGAAGATTTTGGTTATTTTGAATATCAGTCAACACACTACGTCACAGGCGCAAAGGCGAATATATCATATGAATTTAGTCGTTTCTTTTGCAACCTAATAGTGAAGTACAACACATTGCCCTCGATAAGTGTAAAAAACTGTCCGCGG